TCACAGTGTATAAGTGCGCATGTTAACCGACGGTACCCAACGCTTTATTTTAATATTTATAACATCCGTGCACACTTGCTGCGCGTGTATTGTAATAATTTAATTTGCCGCAAGAAAGAACCGATATTACACGCCTACGTGCATTCATTTGGTTACGCGTTCATTACAATTTTTCTAATTAATTTCTGGATTCGTAAATCGGTTACAATTATATTTTTCTGGATCGATGTTGAACACATGTTGTTACGTAATGTGTTCTGTTCTACGTATATGTGTTCAACGGTTTGTCGGAAAAGCCTGTTCTAATCGGCACTCGGCCGTCCCTGTTGTCAGTTGCAAAATCATTTCCTCGAATGCACTGAACTTTATCAGATAAAATATTTATTATGTTACGTACGCATTTATTACGAGACGTTTCCATTCGCCCGGACCGAGAAGTCATTTGCAGCACGAACGCGATTAAATATTCTTTCTTCGATTTTAAGAAATACTTATACTTGTGTCGCGTGTGGTGGGCGTTTGTGTTTATAGCGTGTGAGTTCGTATCAACTTCATAATCTTACTCGATAATATCGATTTACTTAAAAACACTTTGAAAAAAAGTTTAATGTGGATCTCTCTTTCTCCTTTCCGCAATCGAAATTCCAAGAACACATAATTTAGTTAAAATATAATAATTATTATCATGTCAACGGTGTGTACAGCTATTGGTATTAATATTATATATAAACGGGTCGATAGGGTTTTTCCTCTCATTTATTAGTTACCAAATTATATATGTATACAGTTTGAAGTAAGACATGAAGTTAATGGACTTGACTTCGGAATCACTTGTATATTATAATACGTTTACGTATAATAATAATACGCGTTGTTACACCGTTGTGCGTTTCCTTTTTCTCGGAAGAGAATTAAAAGTGGACTGAGGAATTATCCGTTTTAATATAATTCCTAGCGCGCACTCGAGGAGTCTCAAAGGACTTCCGTTTCGTGATGGACGGAGGAGTGAAGAGTCGGTGCGAGCGTAGCGACTTTAAGACGGAGGAGAGGTCTTGCGGTGGTGGTAGTGGCGACGAGTAGGAAGAGAAAACGACCTTTGTTCGTCCCAGGGCCACGAGCATTTTATCAGCGCGAAACGTGTGGCTCGTGGCAAACGTAACAGTCCACCTCTTCGCTGCCTCCCCTACATACCCCGTCAGCTTTCCTCCCCACCGCCCGTCCGAACGCAACCGAGTTAACGCCGAGGTCGTCATCCCCAGCGGGCCCAACGCACGCGTCAGCCCGGCGCCCATTTCTTTCCTTCCCTACCGCCGGGCGTCCCTTCCTTGGCGCAGGGTACCGTTCGCCATAGGGATCGATCACCGGGCGTCTACCCCGAGCCGACACAGCGCGCCGTATGCCTAATGTTCTACTACACGCGCACACGAATATACGTACACACATTTCGCCGACATATAAACCCGCGCACTGCACATGATGTCTTATGTACGTGTGTACATACATACATGCGTCGTAATATTGACGTCACAGCTCCGCGACGTATATAGTCGTTCGCTTTTTATAACATGCGGCAAACATATTGCTTTTATCCCGTACACCGTATACGGACATAATACATTACTATTATTTTTACTATCAATTTGTTGTTCGTCGGCGGAAATCGAGTCGAATTTCTCGGTTGAACGAATGCTGCAGCAGAATCGCCGCCGTCACCGTAGCCGACGATACTCATCGTCGCGTCGCGAAACAAGGTCGTTTTCACTTTTGCTCCATTTACATGTTCTTATTCTTATTATTTTTTGTGCACGTACGTGTAAAGAAACAACCCTTTTTTTTGTCACGGCAGTACGCACGTGCTTTATTAAAATATAATAATGGAATATCGTACGGTAAGTCACTACCTATATTATACAAGTTAGGTTAGACATTCGCTACAATAGATGGTCGTCTGTTCGTACATCATTATGTGCATACAGTCCGTCTATGATGATAATCCAATAATTATCCGAGGCAGATATTTCCCGGGGACCGGCCGCGCTGCGCCGGCTAAGAGAAACGTTCGCGATAAGAAAAACCGCCGAACCTTCGAACGTAATACGGCTCTGAGGGGGAGGGGGTGGAAGGGTAGCTGTACAACGTTTTCCGGGCACCGGTTGAATGGGCCGGCGCGGCGGACGCGATATCAGCTGTTATCGATTGCCAGCGGAAAAACGATCGCGACCGCCGCTACCACCCGCGATGGGTTGCGACGGCGCGCGGACCGTTGGACGGACGCAGCTGAGACGCGCGCGGTACACACGTCTGTGGAGCGTCTGACCAGCGCGCGAAAATAGGGCGAGGGCGGTACGCAGCCTTGAGACTAGCGTCTGCCGCCGTCACCCTTCCCGCTCGTCGCACCGCCGTTCGTACCCACCCCCGGTCTCCCGCTCGCCAAGCCATCCACCCCTCCGCCCGTCGTTCGGCACGCGTTAACGCGCCGCGCACACGTATACGTACCGTATACTTTTATTTCGTGTGTACCGTATAGTATACACGTATACGTGTGAACTCCTACGCTAACGTTTTCAGTGAAAGTCCGCGGGGCGAGTGGAGTGCGCGGTGCGGCGGTTTGGGTTATTGCGAAACGCCGCCGTCGTCGTCGTATGACCCCGTACGGTCGTCGGCGTTTCCGACGATTTTGCGACGCGACGATTTTATTATTGTTACTATTATTAATTTTATCATCATCATTATTATTATTGCATCAGTGATGGCTGCGCGGCGCGTGCAGTAAATACGCGCGTAATTATAATGAAAAATGTTGGGAAACAAGACTCGGTTCAGGTTGACCTACCTCTATATATAGATCGAACGAATGATCGCCGCGACGTCAAAAAAACGGATCACGAATAACGCTAGCGGGTCGCCGCGGCCACCGCCGAATGGCACTGGTATTGCGCACCTTATACATTACACATTTTTGTATTACAAACCGCCGTAAAGGGCGTTTCTTCGTCGTTTACATTATTCATATAGTGAAACGTTACACGTACGGCGCATCGAGAATTGGGTCGGTCGCATACGGTTTACTACTAGTCCCTCTGCAGCGCGCGTGATCCTTTTGAAAACACCTATCTAGCCAGCCGCGGTGTACACGTTTACCTACCATTTATTTATTACTATTCACGTGAACTACTTTGACGCCGACCAGGTGCTCCGAGTAACCTTATGTAAGTGCGATGTCAAATATATATATATATATATATATATATATGTATTAAAACAACACGACCGTAATCGATGTAGGTTGTGTTATATATATATATATATATATATATATATTGTGCGCTCGTTTGCGGTCCGCGTCCCTCTGCCATGTCGCAACGTCATAATAACGATCTGTTGTATAAGTGCGTCTTTGCGCGTTGTATTATTATTATACGGCCAACGAGTCATTCTAAAATGTTTAAAACGAATGAAAAAAAAAACACACAATTAAGTTATGTCCCTCGAGTTTTATGAATTCACGGTTGATTTTTCGGGTACTCTAGTTGGTTACGTAAATCTTTCGATGCTATCTTTAAACCAGAACAATAATTCCAAAAAAGATTTATTATCTTATTTATCGACATATTGTTGTTGGGATTCCAGAAACCATCGTAGATACCGATGTCCTTTTCAACCTCAAGGACGCAAAGACATTTACGAGGCTATAGACCTCAAAGGACTATTAATGTGGGTCATATGACAATTGGTCACATCCCTTTTTTTTTTCTTCACTCGTTTGTTATGGACAATTTAACCACGTTAAGAATGCATACACGTACAACAGTTTAAGAGAACGGTGATGAAGAGAGAATAGTTTGAAAAAAACTGTCTGGTGATTTAACCCTTTAGCTCATATGTGCGTGACCTAATTTCCAAGACAACAGTTGGTCACGGTTCTTTTTTTACGGTCGGCCCGTTTCTTTTTTTGGGTCTAAGGGTTTGACCTAGTTTGTAGTTAGGATCCTCCCGCACGTTTATTTTCGGATTATTGGTTTTTTTTCTTATGTACACTCTTTTTACCCGATGCCAAAACACGCTGACCTAATTAGTATATATATAAGAAATCGTTCGCGCCCACGTGTTTAGGCACTGCGTCGGTTTTCCGGTCCCTTATGGGTGGGGACACAATAACTATCCAAGGCTAAGACTCCGGTCGGTAACAACAACAATGAAAAAAGTATTAAGAAAAAAAAAACGTAATTTATATAGGAATAATGGTCGTAATTGTATAACCATGATGTAATGCACGGATTATAACTAACGTTATGTGAGATATGCGTGGACAAAAAACCATTACATTTTATATTAACTTCCAAGAGACACTCTATGTATACGCCTACGCACTATGAAAAATATGTGCCAACGGAGCAGACGAAAAGTGCATATAAACATTGAAAGTGGATTCGTTTTCAAAATGACCGCCTTGTCTATACCGGAACAAACGTGAAATTCGTTGTCGTCACTTTCTTTGTTCCGGATCGCGGAGAATAATAACCTTCGTGTTCCAAACCACAATCTTTTTTCACCCCCCGCGTAATATATTATAATTTAGGTGTACCTGTATACACATGAACACACACGTGTGGTGTAATAAATGTCTGTATGGATGAATATTACGTGCATGAGTATGTGTGTGTGTGTGTGTGTGTGTGTGTGTGCACGTATACGTACAAGGGATATAGACGATTGTCGTCACACACAATAAATTTGATTAACATATATGACGTGTGTTTGCGGGGGAGACGTGTCTTTTGGGAAGCAGGTGAAAATGTGGGTCAAGGAAACGATGTGGCAACCGTGCGCGCTTCAACCCACTTTCCCTTCCGGTGCTGTATTTGCCGGTCAATTCCCTTCGCCGACCTCCCACCGGCTACCGTGTACCGCACCGCGGTGCATCATGACTTATAACGCGTGTACGCACTCGCGCGCGCGTATGAATCGCTTTCGTTTAATGCAAAAATCATGTTGAACAGGTAATGAAAAGGACGAGAACATCGACTTCCTGGATCATCTCAGAATCCCTAGCAACGGCGGACCGAACCCTACCACGACCGACCATCTGCCCCCGAGACAACAGTTGTCGTTCGCCTTACCGCACGGATTTCATCATGCCGGTGAGTACATCTCGTACAATTTTATTTTTCCCGTAGGACAATATGAATATTACATTCGTCCATAAAGAACGTGCGTGAAGTGTGATGTTACGCTGTGACCTAAATTACCGCGTGTTTACATTCCCCTTCTATTCCCCTCGACTTTCTATTGTTTACAATTATGTATAGTGTATATAGTGTATATAGTGTATATAGTGTATATATATACCGTCGTCAGCGTTTTCCTGACTAACATATGGTGACGGTGAGCAAAACAACGACCGGAAGAGCTGGTTTGAAAGTCCGTTTTCACTTCGATATATGTTCTACGATTCGGAAGCTTCCGGTATATATACCGATTTACGGTCCGCTTTAATCGAGACATTGAAATGGTTAAGATGATACACTACATACGGTTATCGTTGTCCTGGTCTGTGTTACCAGTACGGTCCTGTTCGTGGCAGTTATAACCATGTCACCAGAACATTGTTCTTAACGGAAACCATTAAATTGTGTTTTCGTCAATATTAATATGATATATGTATGCCAAACAATGTGTTTAGTAAAATAACACTTTTATCGCCAGTTATAATGTTTTAGTCCTTGAAACTCAAGACATTATACGAATTATACACGATTTGCTCGCCAAAAAATGTTGTAAAAATAAAATTTCACTTTCGTGTATATTTTTAACAAACGTCACGATTAAAATGGTAACTATATTTTTAATACAAATGTTTTCTACACCGTTAAATTCTGTAGTTCAACATTCCCAGGATTTCGAAAATTCCTATTCCCCCTTTTTAATTCGTCGTATCGACGGAAACGACGTTATTTTTTTATTATTGTATTATTTGATTATTATTATTTTTATTTCTATTATTCACGGGGTCGATCGAAAATCGTCTTCGGTATACACCCCTGCGTAACGACGATTTATGTACAGTAAAAATAAATAAAAAATTCGGCCACTGGTCATTCCTTGGGAATCGTCGGTTATTTCGCATGGCGGTCAAACCCGTTCGACCGCTGGACGATGGTCAATATCGATGAGGGATAGTAATAATTTCCTCCCTACCACCACTACCGCCACCGCGGTGGTCAGCAGACCGTTTTGGTACACGATGTGGACATCACTGGACACAACCGGTATACCTAGAACCGGTTCGCCTCCCCCTTACTATTGTCGGACCCTGTTGTCCATGCATAAAGTACAACAAACTTTGCATGTAAAATATGCAATTAAATTATATGTGCGCTACACTCGGATGAAAAATATTATTAAATTTTAATTTTACAATGTGTTACATCATAATATGTATGAAGTCAAAAAAAATTCAAATGAATTGCGTAGACAGGTTATAAAACACATTTATCGTTAAATGTACGTTATAAGTTGGTAACAAACTATAAATCTGCAGTCTTCATACTTGAATTATTGCAAAAAATAGTTTTTGTCTAAGCTTCCAAAATGCATAGTTTATCGATTTGTCAATGATGACGGTTAATAGTACATGATTGTATAAAAGAAAAAAATATTTAACTGCGACAAAGGATTTTTTTTTTATTATTTTTACTATACAGAGATTAATATTGAATAATAAATACAGCTTCGTATATAGTTACATAGAAAATAACTGTCTGAAAAATTTTGTCGAAAATACCTAGTTGTGGGTTGTGTAGTTGCGGCTAATGGAATGGTCAGTTAGTCGGTTACGACCTTTGGCATAACGGACATACAAACTAATAAATTACTACCGATTTATTTCTCGTCATTCAGCTGTTGAATAAAAAATCGCGTAGGTTTATGGGAAAGGTCATCGGTCTCCCCTTATATGTAGATGACCGATGGTCAGTCGGCACCGACTGACCATCGAAACCCGCGAAAAACAGGTTCCCATTATAATCCCTTTGGATTAATATTAAACAACCTTAGGGAATCAGCTTTTTTCTTTATACATCCAAGGCGAGTGGTCTGCGGGGAACACTTTAAATAGAAAAAAAAACATCAAATCGTGTCATTGCCGAAACGTGGAGTAAAACAATACACCACCTAGAATTGGAAACTATTTACAGTCTATCAATTCATATAATTTGGGTCAATTTGGTATAAACATAATAACTATACGAAAAAAATAACCTCCAAATCAATCGATGTATAATCTCATACGGTGACTAGAAAAAAATGAAGTGTTCAGCTTATCCACGAAATACACTCGTACTTGATTCGTTTTATAATCAATTTTTAAAATGACCCGTATTTAAAATAATATTCATAAACTCAAGTTTTTATGCCTGGATGATTCGATGAACATGATTGTGGGCGTATTGCCGGAACCGGATGTCCACTGAATTGAAAGAATACATATTATAACCTACGTATCTTCTACATACGTAATCTTCGTGAACATATTCGAAATTATTATATGTGTACGAGTAAATTTTAATTTCTGTGCTTAATCTAATGAAAACTTATTCATTTAATTTACTTTGATAATTTTTTAATCAAATTCTTAAAACCTTAGCATATTGTAATATTCTTAAATTTATAAGAAAAAAATGTTATATTAGTCTTTATCCAATAATATAATTACCGTAATTCCGAGTACGGACTTAAATAATTCAAAATTCTTTAATTTGTGTAAGTACAATTAAATATTGGTAGAAGTACTCGTACAAGTAAATATTCAATGTATTATTATAATTTTATTATATATATTTTAAACTATACTCAATATTGTTTTACGGTGAATAATTTTCTTAAAATTCAAATTCAACTTAAGTACCTTAGGATATTATTTATTCAACAAATTATAGTTTTGTGGTTTATATTTTTTTTCATAACTGAACATTTTTTTTCAAAAATAAATATAGCGTCCGCGTACGACAGACAATGATTTGGTTTATATATTTTTCATGTTTATTGTAAAAGAGAAACGCACATGAATAATAATGATTTAATATGTCATCGTAGACGGTCGATTTACTTCAAGTCGAAATACTCGGCGATAAAATCTATCCGTGTCCCAGAAAAAACAATGTCGCGCATGCACCACATAACGACCCATGACGTAACTCAGCAGGACAAACCGCGGGGGCTGTGTAAGCACATCCGCAAGTATTTTTTTTTTCTGAGCTCTTCTAATTTATAGGTCATGTTTATTCGCTAACATTTTGTTTACACCGTGTGTTTCCTGTTGGCGGTCGCAAAAATGACAACTCGGCATGTATTGCTGCTGCGATACATGGTGGTAATGTAGTAAATTAAGCGACGTTCACGTTGTCCTCATGGTCTTAGCAAAAATCTTTCTCGTACCGCGTTAAACGCATATCGAACCAACCGAACCGCGAATAATGTGATAGTTGTTTACGCGCAGAATCACTTGAACCCCACGCGTGTGCGCGCCCTTATTGCATTTCCGACGAAAACATCAGAATTATGGAAACATCTGTGCGCGCGCAATGTGCATTGTCCGAAAGAGGTTGTTTTCGCAATAACCCCATCGCAGTCGTCACGGGCGCGCGTGCTTTATGTATCATATTCACAATGCGAACGTGCGTTGGGTTAGGACCTTTACCCATTGAAATTGCGCAAAAAGCAGCAGACACGCGCCATCGGTTTCCACAAAAGTGTCAAAAATATCAAATAAAACCCTTTTACTTACAGATATAATTGCGTCGTCGATATTGCATATGCGGTAAACCCTTTGAAGGGGTGAAAATGCCCCAAAAATCACTCTAACCCGATCGGGGGGAGGACAGGTGAACACGAATTGCGTACCGCGCGTATATATATTCAGATTCAGCTGTGTACGTGGTTGCACAACGACCGATCTGCGTCAAATACTGTGCATCCTAGGATAATGGGGTACCACCGCCCGACAACAACAAAGAGAATCAACACCACCCTTTTTGGTTGAAATTCCACGTTTTCTGCACAAAAAAAATTTATTAATATCTTTAACAAAAAAAAAAAAAAAAGAAAAAAAAAGAGTTGTGCACCGCCAGCTGCGTCGGGACACCGATTTCCCCCTTATTTTCGTACGGTATAATCCGAAGGATTACGCCTTTTTGTGTACCGATAAATTACCCAGGTACGACCAATTTTTTTTTCGCTTTTCGGAATGCTCTCTTCGGACGTTTAATAAAAACGAAAGACAGAAAAAACCGACGCGCGCAAGAGAAACTCCCAAGGTCTCGCGGGGTCAGTGAATTTACGCTCGCTGAACCGGTTTTGCCTTCAGAATCTTAGAACGGCGATGGTAGCAGCGGCGGCGACCGTAGCTCCGGCAAAGACGAGAAGAAGAGGCGTCGTCTGCTTCTTCTTCCTGCTTTTGTCCGTAACGGTCGGTTGGTCATCCACCGGGTGTGTGTACGCGTAGTATTATGCGTGTGCATTTTTCTTCGTATAATTACTACTGCGCTGTATGCACTTCCCCGCGGAACTGACACTTACCATTATACTAAGACTGATAAATAGCCTTCGTCGTGGACATAATACCGGAACAAGAATGAGGGACATTGTCCGTCATCATCCGCAGGGACAACGGCGATGACTAATAGCCGCGCAACGATCGCGATGACCGACACAACACACGTACCGCGCGATGGTACCCTTTCCGCGTCGAATCCGTGTGATTTACACCTGCAGTGCAAGCGAGTCCGGCTGTCCGGCTCTCCCGTCGGACGTCACATTTGTGTAAGGGATCCCGTCTCGTTATATCGCCGTGGTCATCAATCGACCGTAGTGATTAATGATCTGCCATCATAATCGGCGGCCCAAACTTGTTTTTTTGTTTTTTTTTTTCGTTATTTCCAACTCACACGTATAGTATAATATATATATATATATATATATATATATTATATGTATAGGTACTTCCGCGGACGCGGTCCAACGGACAAAACTTGTATATTTTCCCGTAGGACTTTCCGACACGTTTCCGTGCGCACGGCCATCATCGCAACGCGAGCCAAACGGTTTTCTGTATAAACACATCACACGCTTACGTTATAATTTAGTAGTCCGAGGCCGTTGACTCGTTAAAATATTGCTACATCGCCGCCATATAATATTATTGTATATGTGTATAATATGCGTAGTGTACGAAAACTCTGTAAGACGTATAGCTTGCGCATAGACTGAAAACACGATTGTTTACGAAAAACCGCGTGTTCTATCTCTCCTAACACGGAGTTGTAAAAAAAAAAAAATACAATAATAAATAAATCACCGTCTGAAATTAGCGAACCAGATATCGCGTACATATGTTCTATTACCATGTGTATGTGCTTAGAATACACGGTAAACTCTCAACTGTGTTTCGTAATGCCGATTTTTACGACAATTTTTACATTTATCGAAGTAGCAACCGACTCCTCCCATGCATATACGTTCATACAATACATATTATAGGTATATATATATATATTTATAAAGAAAAAAAGAATTGTGTGCGAACAATAATCGTATATTATTCTGAGATCGCGGTACACGCTTTTGCGAAAACCCAACCTATATGGTAAAAATAATATTACATAAAACGTGTATGTACTTATACGATATTTAATAATGTTTTCTTGTATCATTTCAGGCTCTCTACCACCCAGCCCCGCGGACTCCGGCGTATCCGACGTGGATAGTAGTAGCAGCGGACACACGTCCACAGATACAGAGCTCAGGGCTCGGCTCCAACCGCACCAGTATCACCACCAAGGTCATTATGCTTCCTACAATAACTATAATAATTTAAACCTAACACTTTTTTTCATAATTTTTTAAAATGTTCATTATTTTTTCACCATATTATAAGCATTTGATATAATTTTTGTATTTTGTATGGTTTTTCAGTGTCTTCTTGCGGTCGTCGTACCAGTCCAGATCCACCGAACAATGTACAACAATGCCACCAGCAACAACAACAGCAGCAACAGCAACAACAGCAACAACATCAACATCAACAGCAACAACAACAACAACAACAGGACTTGTTTTCCAGAATTTACGGTGTGAACGCGCCAACATCGGGAGCGTACCATCCTGGTCCTGCGCCGTCATCGCCCAAGCACCCACTCTTCATGCGAAATAACCGTGAGTTTATCCTGCATGGTGCATTATAATATATAGATTATTTAAAAACCTATTACAAGTGATAACACTATACAATTTTATGCTAATTAATCGCACTTAAATTGTATACAAAAAAAACTTAGTGGTTCGAGAGAGACGTATTTATATTTTCACTCCAATATAAATACTTTTCTGTTATGTAAAAAACACTAATACATATTTTCTTAAATGAAAGGGGGAAGGAGAAAACTGCAAAATGAGTCATTCTGCAACTATTTATTTCTTTCTTTCGTTCGACCATTAACGATACGATGTCATTCTCTCTTTATATGTATACCCGTTTACGAGCACAGGAAATGGGAGACGCGCGTCGGCGTCGGCGATCGAGTATTGGTGGGACAACGGGGCAGAGAACCTATAAGTCGGCGTTGAAAATTTATTGGCCGTGCGGTTGGTCAGTAATAGCCGTTTTGGCGCAAGTTGCCTGTGTTCGGAGCGTATGCGTGTGTGTTTACGTGTGTACACGCGAACATATATTATGGACATTGTGTTATAGCGGGAACAATAAATACACATATAAAATAAAAAAATAAGAATGAAAAAAAAAATAAAATCGTTGCGAAGAAAACGAGTTTAGAGTCTGTCAGTGCTGCCAACGCTGCGCAGGCGGACGATCGCGCGCACGTTATAGGTGGGTCTTTTTAACGCGATTCGCGGAAAGGGAGAACCGTATCGCTACTTGGCCGTCACGCGCGCGCGAGAGATGGGGAAACGAGTGAAGACCAGAACGAAAGAAAAAAAACGTTGCTAGAGGACCGTGCGGCGGCGAAGGGCTGGTAAGGTATAGAGACGGGGTGGAGACGACTTGCGAACTGGGAGTAGAGAAGGAGTAAGGAGAGAAAAAGAGGAGAGAGAGAGAGAGTGAGAGAGAGGGAGAGAGAAAGAGCAATGACATACTAACACTTCAAGGTTAACTCTCACTCGACTGGAGGGCTCGCGTTCGCACACGCGCAAGCACGTCCGAGCGATATTTCATGCATGCCGCACACATCCCGCGCAGGGCGTGCGCGCGGAACCGTGTAGATTACACGCAACATCGTCGTCGTGTTTACGCTTTTCTTTTAGCCAACGTTCCCGCCTCCCGGCGGTACCCGCACAGTCGGCACAGCGATCCTAACCTTGCGCATGCAGCCATGGCGAGATTTTTCCGTGCGCGATTTCGGATTTCGTACACGCTCGTTATTCCCTCCCTCCCCTGCTTGCGAGCGCGCCGGGAGAAGAAAACGTGCTTCGCCACGCGTTATCTCCGCGGCGTGTGCGCACGCGTAAGCATATCGAAAGTGTTACGCGCTAAAATAAAAAATAAGAAAACGATATAGGTACACGTATGTTGTAATTATTACTAACATCAGCGGTTCGAGAGCTAGATATAATATTATATTATTATTATTATTATTATTATTATTGGTGAGTTATGTGCATGTTACAATATTGTAATATATGTAGTATTATTATTATGTCGAACTGAATGTGCGGACGAGATAAGAATAAAACCGATTGCTCTGCCGGGAACCGCGCGCAACAACAAAATATAATATTTTAATCTCCGCGCGCGCGATTATCACATTCAGGAAGTGTTCGGTTAAGGTCGAAGACGTCGTTGGCGTGAGTGGGTTTATTTTTTTTTTTTTCCACCGCTCATTATTCGTATCGATACGACGCACTGTATTGTTCTTATTTTTTACGTATTACGCACGCGGCGGAGCGTGTTACGAGTATTGGAAATCTGTGTTAATTTGCGGGTCGGAGAGGGGTAGGATTGATCGAGGACTCGTGTATAGATTAAGACGTGCTTGTGGCGAGAACAGCGCCATTATTGTAAACAGTAATGAAAAAAAAAGTTATGTAAATATGTATTTGATACGCGTACGCGACTCGGCACGATAACGTGATACCAGCGCTGATCTAGAACTATATATATATGGTACGGGGAGGTTCAGTTTTTCTAAGGGACAAAAAAATAATACACATTATAAAAGTAAATCATCAATTAGAACTATTATACTTAATTGACGTCGTTAATTTTCAAAAACAAATTACGATGTTTAATCTCCTTTGTCTTATTGCATATTTTAGTTTACGAATAAGCACAGAGGACCAAATGTTGACTTTTTTTTTTTAGGAAAGGAGTCATGACCCCTCTTCTTGATCCGCGCTTGAGTGGTACACGTATTTATTTCGTTTTGATTGCAACTCATGCCAAGATAAAATAATAATTTTAATGTATTGCGTTAAAAATTACGCGCGATGGCTTATTCGTTTGCACGCGCACGCTCGCCCGCCTGTCGTTGCGTAACGCCGCACTGTCGCCGGCACTCGTTGCGAACCGTCGTCACGTGGTCGCCGCTGCCGCCGCCGCCGTTGTCGAAGGTCGATGGCGGCGATGGCTCACGGTAATCGTCGTCTCACACGCGCAAATTCCGTTCGATAACGATGTATATTTATACCGCACGCAAGACTTCCGCGTTCGCCGTACACACTCGTTTCCATTTTGTTTTTGTTATATTATTATTGTGCATTTATTATTTTACGACCGCGTGCCTGTGCTCCTCCTATCCACTTCTTCTATACATTGTGAACGCGTTCGTTTCGCGGTTCAGTCACGAAATCGAATCGATCATTTGTTTGATTTTTTTTTTCCCCGTAATATTCTGTTCCGCCATACGACAACAACAACAATGTTAACCATATTTCAGCGATCGTCCTGTTAACCGTGAAATAATAATATATTTAATATGGACAAGAAAAAAAAATCAGACGTAGGACCAATGTTCGCCGTTTCCGCGGTTTCCGCGGACTATTCGAGTCGCACAATAGCCGTGAACTTTTATAAAACGAAAATATTATATAGAAAAAAATGTCATCCCAGCAGAATCAATTTCATAGTCTAATAATAATATACACATGTACTGCACGCGAATACGCTAAATAAATAATTATTAGTTAGCGACGGACGTGCGTACATAGTATTGTGTATTCCAGTATTTTTGTTTTTAAATTTTTTGGGCGTATAAAAATGATTTATGAAAATTACACACACGGCGAACACGTTATTAGCAAAACGGTCCACTCGTTATCGTGTTTTTACTAATGGGTATTTATTTTTTATGCCACTATTTATGTACATAATGATCGGCATGTATTGTTTCGGTCTCGCGAACCGACTGACACCACTCGCGTACATTGTACGAAAAAATAACAAGTGCATCAAGTTACGGTTACTATACTACACATATTTTCCGGGAAAGTTAGAGTTACACGCAGTTTATCGCACGCGCACACGGGTAAACCCAATATCACGAGTTAATATTGTTGAACAACATTAATAAGTTTATCTGTGCAACACTAATTAACAACGAAATATCGTTACAAATTTAATAATTTAATACGCGCGGTGCGAAAAGAGCGGCGGTTATATCCGATTCGTTATTTTGTTCGACGGAATGCGAAACGTTGACGATGACCGAGTGTGAGTGTGCACGAAAATCTGAAAATAGCACGCGCACAGCATTCGGCTAGATTTAGCAGCGTACACGGGTGAAACGCGGAAACGGGCGCGCGTGCGTGTTATTTTTCATACTCAAACAAGTTCGATAAAAAAAAAAAAATTCGGTATTTTCGTAAAAAAAAAAAATTTCAAGTGATGTAGAATGCGCGCGTGTGTGTGTGCATGTGCATATACATGTGTACACTAGTGCGCGCGTATGAATTGCACAAATATATACATAAATGTGCGTAGTATTGTATATAAAATGTGTGTGTGTGTATGTTTGAAAAAGATGGATAGATAGAGAGAGAGAGTGAGGGAGGTCGATCAAGTTCAAGGCGAATGAAAAATACCGTCTGGATCTTGACATGGCGGGGTGTGGTGAGATGAGGAGGGATATGAGTACGATTCGCCGTTTTATTAATCGTAACGTTATTAAATATTTTTCTCTGAATTTATTATAACATCCTTTTTTTCCATTTCATATTATGTAATCATCGTCAATCGTATCCGACATTAGAACGTATAACAATATAATACACGCGTAAATATTCTATAACGTAGTAGTAGTAGTAGTAGTAATAGCAGCAGCACATTAGCGTTAATAGTGTGCATACCTATGATGCGAAAAAAAAAACAACCAAATAAAACGGAAATCCGCTAATATAGAAGAGAATAACATAATAATAATGTACCCGAACATAATACAAAATAGAAGACTACGTATGTAGTACAATTTTATTATTCTTTTGAATTCAAAATTGCACGTGCAGTCCTCATCGTCTTAGTTGTCGGTGTACCCATTTTCCTCGTGATTTCTACAATAGCGCGAAGGTTGCCCCCTAAAAAGATTATTCGTTTATATATATACGAATAGCCATCGCGTTCGAATTGCGAAACATCCGTGCTCACCGAAACATTATTAAATGCAAATAATAATAATAATACCTGTGTAAGTATTATATAAGGAATGAGATTACGTTTCTTGAGAAACGAAACAGGGAAAAAACCACCAAGGTTTTGCTTTCGAATGAGAAACACGGATTGTGCGTACTTGTTCTAAGTCTGCGATCGAACAAAAAATTATTTTCAACAGTAAAAGTTATTATTTTACCGTGGTATATATTCAATAACCATTACTACCATACCGACATTCGATACATACACTGCAGTGTGTGTTTGCACGCATTTATTAATGTCGTTTGCGTCTGTCAGTGCCGACCGCGCATTTCCTTTTAAGGACGTCTCGCACATAGTAGCGTATAATACGTATAATACGGTCTAGTCGCGATAGCACAAAATTGAAGGGTGATAAAAATTCACTTCGAGATATGTATAATTCGAGATACCTGACTCGAATTTCTCAAAACTAAATCAAAACTTCAAGTTATATAATGAAATATAATTTTAAAAAATTTCGATAAAAAAACGTTCTGATAATGAAATATGTATATAATTGTTATCACGAAATCTTCTCATTTGCCTATGGCTTCGAATATGGATGTATCCACGCCTTCGACAAATCGTCTAACAGTTTGTAATGATAACATTGCTAGGTTCACTGTAATCATATTTAAAGTTCTTTCGGGCTCATCAGGAATAACAATTTTATTTGTTTATATCCATGACTTCGTTATCAGTCCATTGACTACAACATTATTATCGATTGTAGCATATGATTTAAATCAGTGGCGTCATTTGGAGGGGTGACATGGTGGGCATTTGTCCCTGTTTGATTTTAAAAGTAGTCCGATCGGCCGATACCTGGTTGCTACCATTTAACTTTTTTGTCGAAAAGACGTCTATTTTTCTAAAATATTTTGAGAAGATAATATTATATTATGTAATGCAAAATTATAGAAAGCAAATAGAGACAAATTAGAAAAATTTTAAAAATATTAAAGAAATTATTATATTTTATTGAATAATAAGTAGGTAGTACCTATCTATAATTACTGTTTTAATTTAGCATACATTAACTAAAGTAAACTAGGACTGGGTTGAAATGGGCTCTATATACATTTCACTGAAATAAGCTTAACTTTTAAAATTACACCGTGAATATGGTCTTCAAAATTAAATGGTGTAAGGGGTGACTGTTGTGTGAATTAACATACTATTTCAACTTTAATTTAAAGTGTGATTCAATTACATTTTTAATATGTATTTTGTATTTAATAATAAAAAAAGTTTTCATTTTCAAGAATAAAGTAACAAAAAATATATAAATTATAAAATAGATATGTAAGATGACATTTGTAATAACAAATAAGATAAAAATGTAAGTAGTAATTTTTTTTGCAAGCGAAGTGAATCGCTTTTTAGGTTACTTATGTGGCTATAATATATTATGGGCCGGTCAAAACTTTTGCCCCCCTCTGTTGAAAACTGAAATAACGCCACTGATTGAAATGTAATCAGTTGATTGATATTAAGTTTATCATTTGCTACAATTTTCCTATCATATCCACTATCATAACGGTCATTGTTTTCTAAGCATATATCACCATCACACTGCTCTTCATTAAAATACAATCCAGCTTTTTTTAAATAAATACAGTTGTACATTACCATAAATACTAACCAATATTATTATTATGCATGTGCTAATAATCAGTTTCCATCTACTCGTTTAATCTTTAATGTACAGTATAGATATAACAGATATAATAATATACTTCAACTAAGCTATTTATCACGATTTTATATTCGACTTAACAAGACTTATAACACGTTGAGTGTTATGAGAATTTCCGGGGGAATACGAAAAAAATCGATTTTCGAGTTATCGCAACTGTACAATAGACGGAGAGCAAACCGGGAAAAATACGTAACCAAGCACGACGACGCGCGTGTGCAGCATGTGTGTGTGTGTGTGTGTGTACCCCGACGACGTCATTGCGAACCAATTTATTTTATACACAGTACATAGGAGGCGACCACCGTTTATTTTGTGCTGCAAAACGCGTCCGGAATGCTCAGGGAAATAAAAAAAAAACTTAACTAATCGGGAGAAACTTGCACACGCACTCGTGTGTTGTACTCTTCTACATAATATAATTTACACGTATTCGCGTGTACAATTTAATAAAATAATAATAATAATAATGGTAATTACGCGCGGCACTTAAAAGTATTTATGCAGATTATTTTAACACTTCCGCCGCCGCCGCCGCCGACGGTATCAAGGTCGTGTGCACGCGCGTGTACTCACACAAGCATATGTTCACTTACACTTACGCTGGCACTTGCCAATCAATGTAGACGTAATTGTTTTATAAAATCAAAAATCTTAACTTTTTTAGATTTTTTTGTCGTACATCTTAACATACGCGAACGAACCGTTTTGTGTTTTGCATGAAAAAATGTTATACGTACAACCATTGATTATACGTCATGTTCCGGACCTGCTGTTGCAGCACTGCTCACACATATTTCAACGCCCTTGAAATGACCGCTATTACAGTCGCGTATTATAATACCTATTAATAATATGATCGCACGTAACTCGTCGGCATTATGCATATAACGCAGGCGTTAAAAATAGTTTTTAATTGTATTCGCTATTATGTCACGCGGTCGTTAATGTTTCCCGTTTTTCTGTTTTTCTCTTTTTAGATCCTTACGGCGGTGTTGCCGGTTACCCCTCGCCCGTCGGCTACGGCTCGACAGTCAGTCCCACTTCCAACGGCCACTTCGCCATGCCCCCGTGCCCACCCGCGGCCGCCCTCCCCGGCACCGGAACCGTGGTCGGTCGCGGCTCCGTCATCCAAGCGGCCGCGCCCAATTGTTATCAGCCCAACGGCGGCGCCGCAGCGGCAGCCAACCTCAACGACCTGTACTACATGGACTTCGGCGCCCCCGCCGGAGCCGCGGCCGCGGCCATGTACCACCAAAAGGTGGTTAACAAGAACAAGAAGCCCAAGAAGTACGGCAACGTGGGCAGACCGGCCACTGTTGGTTCCCCGGGAGCTGTGCAACAGTCAACATGCCCGGCCACGGGGCCCAAGAGGAAGAGTCGAGAAGGTAAACATAAAGGATAAAAGTATAATAATAATAATATTATTATTATTATTATTATTTTAATTTCTTATACGCGTATAGTTTTGTTTACCGCGTGTTCATGTCATTTCTAACGTATTGTCCTCCGACGTATGCATAGGTTCCACGACTTACCTGTGGGAGTTCTTGCTGAAACTGTTGCAGAACTCCGACTATTGCCCGAGGTTCATCAAGTGGTTGAACCGCGAAAAAGGTGTTTTCAAACTGGTCGACTCCAAAGCGGTGTCGAAGCTGTGGGGCGAACATAAAAACAAGCCCGACATGAACTACGAGACGATGGGACGTGCTCTCAGGTACGGTTTTTTTTTTTTTACACTTTTAAAAACATTCTTCGTCCCTAAAGACTACCGGGTATTATTGTGTATTATCTATCAGTCCGTTTAATATTATGATAACACATCAACCGATTCGCGTTTATTAATAGTTATTCAATATTTAGTCTGCCACATTCGATGTATTATTAATATATCACCGATTAATGCGTCGTGTTAACCGATTCGCTTTCGGCCCAGACGATGTTTGTAAACATCGCAATTCCGTCTAACGTACGCGCGTGATAGATAGTAGTAATCAATTTACTGGCCATCAGGAATAATTACTACGTAGGTAATCGTGTAATGTACGTTGGAAACGGGATCTTATACATGGCGCTTCAGTTGTTATCGGCTTGTTTGCGCTGATTTTTTTTAATTTTTAATTAGATTGTGCAGCTCTCGTTTAGTAATCATTGCAATAAACAATAAACAAAGTGCTCAACTCCAAAGTCCTTATCGAGTGACGTAGGGCCAGCGTAATCACTTGTACCTTGTGTACGACGTACGTGTCCGTACACAAAATAATTATTTTCTCCATCGTTTTGGGAACATTTATTTACTCTACTGTCCATCTCATTCCTTCCATCGATCGCTAGAGAATACACTACAATGTTTAATTTCAATTTCGTTCGTGTCGAAATGTGATCAAAAAACAACCTCTGACTAATGGTTTTTCTATGTTGTACAGATATTATTATCAGAGAGGAATCCTGGCAAAAGTGGACGGCCAGAGGCTGGTGTACCAATTCGTCGACGTTCCTAAGGACATTATCGAGATCGATTGTTCCGGTGCATGAGAAGAAAAATGACGATAATATAACATACGTTTTAATAACAATATTGTCATCGTCGTTAATTTATATACTCGTACATAGATATATGGCGTACGCACATAAATGTATAAAAATATGTATAAGATATGTTGTATGTGTGTGTGTTTGTGTGTGTCTATGTGTATTATTGTGCACAATTCGAATTTAAAATTGATTGCCGTGTAAATATCGCGAAAAACTTGTGTTTCTTTTTTTTTCTACTTTTTTTTTTTTATTATTATTATTATAATTATTTCGTAAACGTGTGCTGCTGCTGCTGCTGCTGATGCTGATACTACCATGATATAAATTAAGTACTGCCTGCTGCTGCTACAACCGTTGTCGTTCGTGCGTGTGTATGTGTGTAAAGACTGACAATAATTAACCGAGAAGATATTATATATTTAATAACACGAAAAGTAAAATCGAAGGTAATATTATATTATATACAATAATTATTGTTAGTTTGACCGATCTCTACGTTTTTAGTATATTTAACAAATCTCGAAACGTGTACAAAATTTTAATTATTAATATTATTATTATTATTTTTTATTTAGGAAATAAATTCGATTCAGTACGAAACAAATTAAAAAAAACAATAGATAAATATTATAAACACACTTTTATATAAATATACATTATATGTGTATAATGAATGTGTACATAGTATTGTTTTTACCATTTATTAATTATTATTTTATTTTTATTTTTTTTTTTGTTTCTATAAGAATGTATTTTTTTCTCAACTTAAGTCAACGAAACCCTGTACATAACCATAATTTATAAGAATAACTTTAAGATTAATATATTATTGTTGGTGTAAGTTTTTAATTATTCTTATACATATTTACATATTATAACGTATGTAATAATTTCTGTAAACAATTTTTCGAATTATTTTTGTATGCTTTTTTTTAAGTTAAAACTTTATTTTTTTTTTGTTTTTGTATTTAATTTTAAGAATTTAATGTTTTTAAACTATTCATGTGTACACGTTGGCACCGAACGTTTACTATCGAATATTTTACCATCATTTTAAGTGATACAAATTATTTAATAAACCGTACTTAAACGCATATATGTAGTATATAATACATTCATATATTTTTATTTTAATAATGCTCGCGAGGCTACTCAAAAAAGCTCAAAAAATAGACGAATAAATTACACGGTTTGAAGTGTAATTATGATTCGAAACTACCATTATTGTTACATCCTTTAAAAACTTTATATATATATTTCAATGTTCAATGTGTAAAAAAAATATTTAAATGAATTTAATTTAATAAAAATGTACATTATTTTCGGTACATGACGCGAAAAAAATTTCACTTGTTTCGTCAATTTTCGTAAAACATTTATTTTAAGGAAAATAAAACCATTTAAATAATTTAATGTAATAGATTATAAAGTAAACAAAACGGGTATGATATTGAATTATATTTTCCAATTAATTAATGATTTTCGGTTGCTAACCTTATTACCGATATTGCTCAAATAAACACACTAAATTAAATTTTCTGATTTTTACTTGATGCCGTCACACTCTTTTATTAATATATTATATTCTTAATTAATAATATGCATTTTGCTCGTAATCTATGTTTTTTTTTTTTTGTTCGTTGTGGTAATATGTATAAAAAAATTTATCACATTGCTGATTAAAAAAAAAAAAAAAACAAATTGTGATTCGAAATTACAAGGCCTTTATAATGATGTGATTATAGATAAGTAGATAGCAAATTTGTATAGGATGTTTTTTTTTTAAATTTTACGTTCTGTTAGACTGTGAATTGGCTTGTGATTTAACAAAGAAATCGAAAGGAATTTATTAGGTAAGGTAAATAAATAAAAAATATTTTTTTTTTTTTGCTATAAATGTAGAGAAGAATCGAATATTATACAAGCGTTTCAGTAAACTTTTTTTTTCAATGTAATTTTACGCTACGAGAACAACTTCGGGAAACAATAGTTTTGAACAATTTTAATTTATATAATAAATTTTATAGAATTATAAGAATCTATTTAATATTTAAAGTATTATGTACCCATGGTAATTGTTTACTGTTAGGAAAATTAATGTTTGCGAATTTTATATACTACTTAAATAATTGAATAAAATACAATATTTAATACCGATATAATATTTATTGAACCTTGTTGCCATACCCTGCAGCAAAAATGTGTTGTCCTCCGATGGCGCGACATTATGTGCGTATGTAATTAGATATGAAATATAATGAAATATTTTATTAATTAATAATTTATTTACATATCCATATTTCGAATATTTATATGTACAATAAATAATTGTTACTTTTTTTTTTTTAACGAAGGAAAAATATATAAATAAAGAAAACCACCCTTATATGTCAGCGAACGCTGAATGTACGACATTATTTTTTTTTCACTCGTTACATCGGTATATACTTATGTATATTAAATATGTAACGTCGTACTGTATACCTGCTACCGTACCTACGTTGTTGTTTTTGTTTTGACGTCACATGATTTTTTCTCCTGTTCGTTGAACGAGCGGATAGAATTAAATTTAATTATTTTTACTATTATTATTATTATTATTATTATTATTATTATTATTAGTATCATTATTATTGAAATTGAAGAAGACGCCCCTCTCTCCTTCATAATTACCGAAAAACGACGAAAAATTTTCGTACATAAATTATGTCGTAGAAAAAAAGACAAAAAAAAAATTTGTTTGCGCTTTTTTTCCTCGTGTTAAATATGTATTTGTACGATACGAACAAATTTATGTAAAGCGAAATTAACGCGTATTATATTATAATACAATTTTATATAAATAAACCTTAAATGTCGTGTGTGTATGTATATTGTAAACGAGAATGAAAAAAAAAGTAAAAGCGATATTTGTTTAAAACAAATAATCGAAAAACAAAAATTAAAAAAAACTAAATTAAATATATATACAACTTTATATGTATCGGTGTAAACGAACTATTGTTATATTAACAAAAATAAAGAGTTGAAAAATTGATTAAAGATTTGTTATTTCATACACGTGTATGAGTGTACTATGCCCGAATTTTAATATATTATTAAAAATTTTTTAGATTAGCTTGCAAAACATTATCTTATCCGCAAAAGTATCACGTTTTGTACAAAAGCTACGTTAGACTTAGACTGTAATCCCCTTTGGAGCCAATTCCCATCCCCGCGAAAAGCGCCAAGCAGTGGCACTCATGTTTGCGAGTTAACGAGCGAAATCCTAAAATTTATAAAACTGAAGAGTAGTTTTTCCGGAAAAAAAATAGTAATAGTAATATAGAAAGCCATTGTGCCAGACTTTATCGAGTGCTTGAGCAATATCTAAAAAAAAGTCCGGAACAGTATTCTTTATTTTCGAGAGCAGTTGAGATTTCATCAGAAAGACGATGAACTTGATGGATTGTTGAGTAACAATTTAAATGAAGTAATTTCCAGGTGCCTTGCCGGGAGGCAATTTTTTAATTATATTTAACCAGGAGAGATGGATTTTGCAAATAGCGACATAGGTAGCGAAGCTGATAGAAATTGTTGAATTTCAATAATTGTGTCATTTTCGGGATCGGTGTACGAATGAGGCTGGAATTTTTCAGCTAATTGAGAATATACAGGTACAGAGAATGTACAGAATATACGTCGCAATTAAAAATGTAAATGTTGAGGTGTTTTTAAATCATACTATCTATACTTCATATGTACCGAAAAAAAGTGAATTGAGGAATTACTTTTAAAGCGATTTGAATAACCGTATGCAACACAAGAAACAGGCATATTTAATAAATATTAGTTACTAAATAGTGTATAATTAATGTTGTGATATGTGGGGAATAGTGTTGATACAATATTTTGCCAACCCAAAACATGGCGGACAAATGATAACATAATCAATGCGTGCTTCAAGTGATATCGAAAGTTCGTCATCTAGTATAATCATTGAACTATATGATAACTGGAACGCTCACTAGACAGTGTTGCCCGAGCAATCATGTTAAAAAAAAGATAGCATATCAATTAGGTGTTTCCTTCTTTGTTTAACATGTACTGCTATATAAGATAATATATTTAAAAATCGTTTTGCTTTCAATTAAAAATGATTTAACAAAATTTTTAAGGTATTTAAAACCGTGAATCTGTTGCAATATGTGTTTGAAAACAAAACTGGTTATCAAATAATTATTTTTAAGCTTGAAGGCTTAAACTACCACGTATCAAGTACTAATGAATGTATGTAGTATCAGTGATAGAAATAATTTTCTGAACCAAACAACTAAAAATTATTGATAATTACAGACATTCGTTAGTGGCATTTATATTGGAGAGAATAGATGTTTCCCTCATATTAAATATATTAAACATCACTATAAATATATATTTTTTATAAATGTTTTTAGATTTAACAGGATAAAATTATGTTTGCTGTTGCTAGATATTGGATTATTATTCAATATAAAAGCAGTCTGCATAGGGTGCACACGTACATTTATTTTAATATTTAAATTAATAGAAAATGGTAATTTTAAAATAATTTACTTTGTATAATATATAATAATGTATTAATATTATATAATAATGTATTAATATTATATAATAATGTATTAGTATTAATATTAGTATTAATATATAATTAGGTATTTTAATTAAAAAAATTAAGAATTGAAGTTTTAAGTAAAATCAATGAAAAAACTTAAAAGCAAATAATAAATAGGTATTATATTCTAAAATAATTTAAGTACGAACTTATGGAAAATTAATCCTTTATTAATATCGCTTGAATTTGTGCAATTATAGGTACTACAATAGTTAATCATTTTATTATATGAAACTTAAGGTACGTAAATATAAATTGATTAGATATTAAACAAATTATAAAATACAATATTAAATTAAAACCGATTAAATTAATAAGATTTTTGATTTACATTCAATTGTTGAATAGAATAATATACAAAGAGAGAGAAAACATTACCTAATATATTTGTTATCTTTGTTTATCACGGTCACTCGGTTTTATTTACATTGTTCATATGGCTAGTAAGCATTCCAATTATCATATAGTTCAATGAGTATAATATAGATATCTGTGTCAGCAATGCACGCGTCTACGATAATATCGCTCCGATACGATACCGAACCAATGAATCGTTAGCGACCGCGGTATAAGATTTGAAAACACGAATGTAGTCTGAACGTTATCGTTGTCAACCGTACGGGGAAAAAATTTATAAGTGCACATTTGGTTTACGATTTTTCGGTACAACGTTCAATTAACGTCCTGATTGCACGAAAACACATGGCTTTACGAATTGTCATCAGCTACCATAGTGCGGTGAAATTGAAAGCAATATCGGTTTAAACAGGACCATTTCAGACCTCCGCGATCGACAAGCGGCAGATACGTCCGCGTGTTGCGTTTTTTTTTTTATTTTTTCCTGCTTT